TTTTATAGTTTTAAAGTTTGAATTTAAATTTTCAAACTTTTAAAGGGTGAAATTTAAACTTTTATAGTTTTAAAGTTTGAATTTAAATTTTCAAACTTTTAAAGGGTGAAATTTAAACTTTTATAGTTTTAAAGTTTGAATTTAAATTTTCAAACTTTTAAAGGGTGAAATTTAAACTTTTATAGTTTTAAAGTTTGAATTTAAATTTTCAAACTTTTAAAGGGTGAAATTTAAACTTTTATAGTTTTAAAGTTTGAATTTAAATTTTCAAACTTTTAAAGGGTGAAATTTAAACTTTTATAGTTTTAAAGTTTGAATTTAAATTTTCAAACTTTTAAAGGGTGAAATTTAAACTTTTATAGTTTTAAAGTTTGAATTTAAATTTTCAAACTTTTAAAGGGTGAAATTTAAACTTTTATAGTTTTAAAGTTTGAATTTAAATTTTCAAACTTTTAAAGGGTGAAATTTAAACTTTTATAGTTTTAAAGTTTGAATTTAAATTTTCAAACTTTTAAAGGGTGAAATTTAAACTTTTATAGTTTTAAAGTTTGAATTTAAATTTTCAAACTTTTAAAGGGTGAAATTTAAACTTTTATAGTTTTAAAGTTTGAATTTAAATTTTCAAACTTTTAAAGGGTGAAATTTAAACTTTTATAGTTTTATAGTTTGAATTTAAATTTTAAAACTTTTAAAGTGTAAAATTTAAACTTTTATACTTTTAAAGTTTGAAAGTTTGTATTTAAAGTTTAAAAGTATAAATTTTTAACTTTAAAATTATAAAAGTTTTAATATTATTTGAGTAATGTTCCTAACTTCCTAATTTAATTTTTAAAAAAATTTAAATATAGCCGTTGGGACTCAGTTTCCTGTCCGGTCCCGGTCCGTTACCGGTCCAGAATGGGTATACTTTTTTTTTCTCGGAATTACCGATTTCGGTCCGTCCCAGTTCCGGTACGGTTCCTGCCCGTGGTGCCCGGTTCCGGTCCCGTTGCCACGCTTAGTCTTGTATCAACTTTTTTAGATGTTGAGCTTCCTCAATTGCCTAGCATGAAAAGAAACAATTTATAATTTCTTTAGTGGTCATTATAGAGAGATTTCAGTCATTATTAACAGTTGACAATTAGTAAACAAGTTTGTGTTGTTTTTTCATTTTCTTTTTCTTGATAATTCAAAATAGGTTTCTCCTAGCCATTCACTAAATTTCCTAGTCATTCTCACTGAAGCTATTCTAAGTTGGAGTTGAGCTTGAGTTGTATTTTTTGTTTCAGTGATACTCCTAAACTTTTTCAAATTTTGATTTTGGTTGGAAGTTGAAACTTTGGTTTTCCGACCCGTGAACTTTGGACGTTAAAATGAGATATACTAGAATCGTTAAACAATCAAGAGTTACGGAATAATTAAGTACTAACTGGAGGAGATTGTAGTTAGAATCAATTCAGCCAATATAGAGAATTCAAACTAGCAAATTTAAACCTATAAAGATATATTAAATCACATTCACAGAGAAAAGAGATAACACTTGTCTGTAACTTATTACAATAACATTAGACGTTACAATCACATTAGACATATTAACAAGGATAGTTAAAAAAATTCTAACAGTAGCATTTTAAGCAAGCTGAAATTTGATAACACAACGCCCAACACTGATTAGCAATGCGACCAGACGAGTGGAACAGTTTGAAACTAAACAAGATGCAGCTAGGAAGACCAGAATAGTAGTAACAACTTTTAGTTTTGAAATACACTTTCAACATCCACAAAGAGGAATAACACTCCAACTTTTTTGTGGATTTCAATTGTGTGCATCTGTCAAATTCATTCACAATTTACAATGAGGTCTGTTTGTATTTCCCCAATCATCTCTCTAATCTAAAGCCCAGATGCTACTGTACAAAATTACTTAATAAAATTTAAAATGTGTTCTAGTTTAAACAGGAGGGCTATCCAAACCATTCGTCGTGTGCTGAAACCAACGAACAATTGAAATGGTGTAAAAGGGGTTGCAGACTGAGACTAACTGTGATGAGAGTAGGTGAAGACTGTTCTCCAAGTGTAGATATGGTCACCTGATGCTATCTCGCTCCTTTCTACTTTGTGAGTGAGCAGACCCATCTCTTTCTCTCTTTGCAATCGCCAGAGTTAGATGAAAATGAGAGTAGACGAAGACAGTTTCAGTCACATTCTATGGAGCAGCTAAAGAGAGAGAGGGGTGCGGCTGCGCCGAGTTCGTTAGTCGAAAAGGGGAGAGGAGAGGGGAACGGAGGAGGCAGCAGCTGCTCGGAGCCTGCCGCTTCGCGCGACTCGCCGGAGCTATTGGAAATGAGAGATGACTCGTTGCGACTGTTCTTCTTTGAGAGGAGGAAAAGAATGAACAATTTTTAAGGGTTTGGGTCTTTTAGATTGAAATAGGAAAGTGGGGAAGATTCAATCTGACCATTGATAGGATGAAAATGGACGACTAGGATTTGATCTCAAATTTTGATAGATGGTTGAGATTAAATGGAAATTAGAGTCTTGAAAAAAATTTGAGACAAGAATAGGCTAAATTTGAAATCAACAAGTGGCTATAATTGAAATAAGAATTTGAATTGATGTGGCTAGAATTGAAATACAATCGAATATATTAGGCTATGAGTTAAATGATTTTAAGAGAAGATTAAAGGAGATGTTATTCAATAAATAAAATATTACACATATTAAAGAATTTTCATATAATTAAACACACCTAAATTTTAAAAACATTTAAATAAATAAGTAAAGTAATTATTTCGAGTTTAACTATCGATAAATATAATAATTTAATAATAATTTTTATAAATTATTGCATACTAAAATATATAATTTTTATCCAAAATCGATTACAATTTTAAACCCGAAATATGTTTTGAAAAAACGTTTTAATCGAATAGCACTTCTGAAAGGGTTGTAGGTCGATCAAATTGGGTGTCAACAAATTAATTAAACACACACACACATATATATATACTAGAGGGGTATGGCCCGTGCTAGCACGGGCCCAACATGCATGGTTTCGATTTCCTTTTGTCATTGCAACAATACAATAGTATAAGCAGTCCTAATTATATAAATTTAATTTTATCGATCA